TATATGATGTAGATAAATTAGACCTATGCTTCTCTCATATCTGTTGCACACAAACTTAAACCTATGCTCGTTTAATGTCTGTTTTATACAAACAATACTGCGTATATTAACTTGTCACTATAAATCTTGTATTAAATGAATAAGCCAATAATAATATTGGTTTTATTACAACTAATGCAATATAATAATTTTGGTGGTGAAATTTGAGATATTTGGCTTTAGGCTAGATTTTTTAAATCTTATTGTAAGATGTAGCACAAATCAATTTTCCCGTCATTTAAGTTACACAAATATTTTAGCCATAAAAAAAATACCAGTAATACAGTAATATTCAAAACTTCCCCATCAAAAACAACTCTCAAATCACAAACGCTAGCTATAATTATTTATTTTTCACAAAAATAACACTGCCTTCATATAAATTAATTCTCCTTTTCGGTATCTCAGGGGTAAGTCAGGGATAACGCTAAGATTCGAGTTTCGATACTCGCGGTGACACAGCACAGATAGCCCATTGTGTAGCTTTGCGGTTAACGACAAACAAAGAAACAAAATAATCACAAAACTTATCGAAATTTCCAATTACTTCACTTTATTTTGTGTATCATTATTACCAAAAAACTCTCTTACTCAAATTCGAAGCCTACATTGTCGTGCTGCGCAAATAAATTTTGGTAATGGGGATTGCAACGTTAAATATGGTCGGGAGAAAAGGAAAAAAGCTTACTTCAAGGGAAACATAATTACACAGATCTTTCCACTTTCTCTGTAGTAGATCTTTTCCACTGGCCTGTCCATAAAACATCTTGTTTCTCAGTCTGCTATTGAACCTATTGGGCCGAGCTTCTGTAATATTAATGAACAGAACATGTATAAAATTTATTTCAATAGGAACCTAACAATATACGAACATCACAAAACCTATAACTGTGGACCCCAGTTAAATGTAATAAATTTACAATGTTAATAATTCATATTATTATCCAGGGTTCGAGACTAACTTTAGAACATTTTTTTTAAATTAAAAATAAAACACTATTCTCCCAGATGGAGTTTTGAGCTAAACCATCCATGAAAACGACACTTTTCAAAATTCAAAACAAATCGGAAATTAAGAAAAAAGCGTTCGGAAACATTATTTTATTTAGCTTCTAACAGTCACCGTCAACTATAGTTGAATGAACTATAATATTTTACTCATATTCAAGTTTTCTTAAGAGTCGTTCAGTTTTGCAGTTTTTTCTACATCGCGACTGATCACAGCAACGTTTACGTTTTATATTTTCAACGAAGATTAAATAGCGATTTGCACCTTCTCACCTCTCGCCTCATGGAACTCCAGAGCTATGTGAGCATCTACACCAATAGAAAAGTAGTTGTTGAGAACGTTGAGAGGCAAGTCCTCTTTACCCCCTTCCAAACTCGATGAATCAACATCAGGATTTTTCTCAACCGTAACATCCCACCTGTGCACCAACAAATCAAACATTACATACAGATCATTAACTAGGCACTGAACAAAATATAACGTGCTGACCCAAATTAATGTTTAAAGTGTATTTATACACTTCTTGTACTTAAAAGCAACGCCTACAGTATGATGGCTTTGAGTGTGTGTGGTTTAGTTTTTGCTCATTTACTATAGCTAGCGTCCTCCAGTGGATCAGCGGTGAGTCTGTGGGTTTATAACTCTAAAAAATCAGGTTTCGATACCCGTGGTTCACAGCACAGATAGCCCATAGTGTAGCTTTGTGCTCAATTACAAACAAAGTAACAAACTAAAGCTAGAATATCAAAGAGGATAATTTGTTAATTATTAATGTTTATGTATAAAACCTATAGAGACAACTATCAAATAATTTATGTCAGCTTTATTATTAAGTTTACAACTTCTAGTGCCTTTTCAAAAATGAATAATATTAATGAAATATTTTAATAAAATTAAGCATTAAAATCAATATTAAACACAGGGTTTTTAAAGTGTTTAGTTTTTAATTTACATAAATTTTCACGAAAATGTTCTTTCTTCGGAAAAAATTAGAAGGTCCAAATTATTAGTATTTATTATTCTAATAGCATGTTATTTTAATCATTAACATCAGCATTGTTTACAACGAGCATCATCATTTGATCACTTTAATAACTAAGCAAACCCTAGTTAAGCAATCTAAAGGCGACTGAATTTAATTCTAAAATAGATCTAATCAGAATATGTATATAGGTTCAAATTTCAATACACGAAGAGAGTGTGTGTTTTGTTATAACAAAGCCACATTGAGTATCTACTTTGTCCACCGAGAGGAATCGAAACTCTGACTTTAGCGTTGAAATCCGATTTGTTTGTTTGTTTTGAATTTCGCGCAAAGCTACACGAGGGCTATCTGCGCTAGCCGTCCCTAATTTAGCAGTGTAAGACTAGAGGGAAGGCAGCTAGTCATCACCACCCACCGCCAACTCTTGGGCTATTCTTTTACCAACGAATAGTGGGATTGACCCTAACATTATAACGCCCCCACGTTTCAAAAGATCATACATAAAATAAAATAGTTACTAAAGTCTTTGAGTTGTGGCTCCGAACAGCAAAGAAAAATGGGTCAAGCCATTCAATGATGAACGACATTCGACTATTAATTCGATTAGGAGTTGTTCTCATGATTATCAGAGACAATTCTTCATCATTTCTCATGCTAATTTATGGAATAATTGGACTGAAATGAAAACCCTGTATCGCCATCTCAAAGCTGTAATTCTTTAGCCAGAATGCATAAAGAACATTTCTTTGTCGCCCTATTTAGAGATTAAATTTTATTTAACGCCCCCACGGCTGAAAGGGCGAGCATGTTTGGTGTGACGGGGATTCGAACCCGCGACCCTCAGATTGCGAGTCGAGCGCCCTAGCCACCTGGCCATACCGGGCCCTGAAATCCGAAGACTTACCTCTATCCCAACGGGTGACATACCCAAAGAAGTTAAACAGGAACATTTCAATTAAACATGAATTTGACGCTATGTTGAGGTAAATATTCTAAATATTATTATTGTAAATAATCTTAATTATGGTAAGAACATTCATTTATTAAAATTTATTTTTCAGTTTCTGTACTTGTAGTAAGGACTTCACTTAAGTATGGTATAGGAATGTACCATAGGTTCCTTTCTTTCTGTAGTATTAATGTTGATTATAAATTTATCACTTTCGACGTTGTATGGTTTTTATTATGGGTATTCAAAACTAGGTTTTAATTTACGAAGGGGTTTTCCTAAGTAGTGTATCCTTGTTTAAGGGTTTATTCCAGTATTTATATAAGTGTATGTGAAATAGTGATCCTTGAAAAGATGTTGTAACTGTGGAAATGAACGGTGATTTCTTGTAAAATTTTATTAACATGACGAATGTTAGTTTTATTTATGTTTTTGTTGCCATACTTTTAGTCTGTTTGCTTCTAAAGTAAACAGTGTATCTGCGCTTTCGTTCGATTTGGTTTTCTTTCCATTATTTTTGTTTAGTTATATTTTTTATACGTACGTACTTCGTGTTATACCTAGATAAGAGGGTTTATTTGTGTTTTATATTATTTCGATGTTAATGGGCATTTTATGGATGTCAGTATTGAAGGATTGAGGCGTTTATGTGGCATGCTATTAGGAACAAGGGAATGTTAACATGCTTCTTGGTCATGTCGCGAGTTTAAAGCTAGTTAGCTAATTATCGGCTTGAGTGAAGTATAAGGTAAGAAAGACAGGAAAGTGTGGTATAGGAATATACCATATGTTTCTCTCTAGTATTATTAATCATAGTTAGCTAATTATCGGTTTCAGTGAAGTCTAAGGTAAGGAAGACAGGAAAGTGTGGTATAGGAATATACCATAGGTTTCTCTCTGGTATTATTAATCATAGTTAGCTAATTATCGGTTTCAGTGAAGTCTAAGGTAAGGAAGACAGGAAAGTGTGATATAGGAATATACCACAGGTTTCTCTCTGGTATTATTAATCTTATTCTAAGTTTATTATTTAATTCCGAATAAGTGTAAGTTTTGGTCCAAAACTACCATTAACGTTTTCTCCGTAGTAGCTCGCCTCTCGCTATCATATTGAATATCATCCTATTAGCCTGGAAAAATACCAGAGGTCCTTCTGCTGGTCATTTGGAATCTATCGACAAATGTCGAGAGGGAGAGAAAGACTAATTATGTGGTGACACCACCAGGACAAAGAAACCAATGTTACTTTTCAATCTAACAACCGGGTTTCAAGACAGTCCTGGATTGATTTTAAAAGCGTGTTTTTCTCTTTGAAGTTGATCCACGTAAGAACACTCAATGCGTTTTTGTCTTCTCGTGTTTAATAAATATTATCTTCATCGTGTATTACACACCGTTTCCAGTCTGTTTCGTATTCTTAAACCTAAATTCAGCCGGTAATAATTCAGCATTGTTCTGTGAAAACCGTATCTTGTCGAACCTCTTGTTAAGCACATTTATTCAGTGAATTTGCAGAGAATCAATCAGTTTCACCCGAGATTACTACCTACTTTCTACTTTTGATTAAACCTTGAGTAAAACTAAATTGATTGAGCAGAAAATGGCTTAACTGTTTACTACTGATATTTTTACTCAGGTTTTTTGAGTGTTATTAAGGAGTAAATTATTATTATTATTATTATTTTAATTATTTGTATAAATATTAATTTCAATACGCGTATATAACTATAAGAGATATTGTGAAATATTTTAAATTACATTTTGTCGTACCTGTCTAGCTGAACAATATCTCCGGTTTGAATGTTGGAGATTATCTTGGAAATTGGTTCGTCGGTGTAACCCTAAAAGAGAAAGGCGTATTATTATTATTTATTTTAGCTTATAATTAGGTAGCAAGTTCTCTCTCCCTGTAAAATGTGCTTGAATTTGAAGATTCAATAAGGTAACTCAATTAAATATTTGTCCAAATGGAAAAGTTTTGTTCAACTTTCAACTCGAATAATCAAAACAGGAAATAATACCCTTTGATAGAATGTTTAGGCAGAGTATTCATGATGAGTAAATTGGAATGGACGGCAACTGCCTGTTGTAAAAACACATGTGTAGAGGACAACGTTTCGAAAGTTTTCTGTCTTTAGTTTTAACTTCCACCACCTGAAGACAAAAGAGTCTGGAAAC